ACTTAATACTATTCGGGTTCTTCTATCACTTGCTGCAAATCTTGATTGGCCTTTGACTCAGTTGGATGTTAAAAACGCCTTCCTAAATGGTGAATTGGCCGAGGAAGTGTATATGGACTTTCCACCAGGATTCGAAGAAGAAAAAGGTCGGGTATGCAGGTTAAAGAAATCACTATATGGTTGAAACAGTCCCCAAGAGCTTGGTTTAGTCGATTTGCCAAGGCTATGACCAGCAGAGCATATACCCAAGGACAAGCTGACCATACCATGTTCTACAAACATTCAAAGGAAGGTAAATGCTCAATCCTTATAGTCTATGTTGACGATATCATTCTAACAGGAGATGATTCGAATGAAATCAGATGCCTAAAAGAGTTTCTTAGCATTGAATTTGAGCTTAAGGACTTGGGAAATCTAAAATACTTCCTTGGAATGAAAGTAGCAAGGTCTCGAACAGGTATCTCCATCTCTCAACGAAAATATGTTCTAGATTTACTAAAGGATACTGGCATGTTAGGTTGCAGACCTGCAGAGACCCCAATTGAATTCAATTTGAAACTTGGAAATAATGAAGATGGAGAGGAAGTAGACAGGGGGAGATATCAACAACTTGTGGGAAAACTTATCTATCTATCCCACACTCGTCCTGACATTGCTTTCAGTGTGAGTGTTATCAGCCAATATATGCATAACCCAAGGGAGAAACATCTAGAGGCTGTCCATAGGGTGTTGAGATAATTGGAGGGAACCCGGTAAGGGCCTACTTCAAGAAACAAATAACCGATATGTAGACATCTACACAGATGTTGATTGGGCAGGTTCGGTGAATGATAGAAGGTCTACAAGCGGTTACTGCAGTTACGTGTGGGGTAACCTTGTGACGTGGAGAAGTAAAAATAATCTGTTGTAGCCTGCAGTAGTCTGAAGCTGACTAATGAGGGAATTAAAAATACCTCACACCAGACCTATGAAATTGTACTGTGACATCAGGCAGCAGTGAGCATAGCATACAATCGTTCACCATGATCGTACCAAACATGTAAATAGATTGCAAACATGTAAAATAGATTGCCATTTTCAAAGAAAATATCGAATCAGGGGAAGTATGCATAACCTACCTACCAATAACAACAATTGCACTTGTTTACCAAGAGCCTAAACAAGAACATGTTTGAAGATCTCACTAACAAGCTGGTTGATGAACATCTACACCAGCTTGAGGGGGAGTGTTGGAATTCCTAGAATCAAGGAACAATATTTTTTCTTAATTCTAGGAGTTTGCCTTAGTAAATAGTCAACTAATCTAATTCCCTGATCTTAGGAATTATTTCCAATTAGAGTAGTTCTTCCTTATAAATTGTAATTTACGTTTAGAGCAATAAAGTAAGAATTTCATTTCTTCTCACATTTGTTTATCTTCTAAAAATCAATAGTTTCATTGGTTAAAAAGGCACAGTCAAGCAACTGCCTTCCAGGAATAAATGTGAACTGAGGGACTTACTATATCTTTAATAACAGAAACAAGCCTTCTAGATAGGACTTTGGAAATTATTTTGTACAGGCTGCCAACTAGGCTTATCAGTCTATAGTCTTCGATACCTTCAGGATTTCGGATCTTGGGGATCAAAGTTATAAATGCATGATTGACCACATGCTCCCATTTCCTTCCATTGTGAAAATCCTCAACAAATTTCATAATCGGTCTGTAGTCTTCGATACCTTCAGGATTTCGGATCTTGGGGATCAAAGTTATAAATGCATGATTGACCCATGCTCCCATTTCCTTCCATTGTAAAAATCCTCAACAAATTTCATAATAAAAGGCTTCAAGATTGGCCAAAATTTCTTAAAGAAACCCATGGTGTAACCGTCTGAACCCGGTGCTTTGGCACTGTCGAATGAAAAACAGCCTCCCACACTTCCTTTTCTGAAAATTTATCTTCAAGAACCTTCTTTTGATCATCTGTCAGTTTAGCAAAATTCAGATCTATTTTATCCACCTCTAGAGTTGTTTTCGAATTATAGTTATCCTTGAAGTAATAAAAAACAAAGCATCTCAACTGCTTCGGATCGGAAATAACATCATCTGCTACCTTCAATGCTGAAATGGTGTTAATTCTATTTCTGTTAAGTGCACACAGATGAAAAAACTTGGTGTTTCTATCCCCATCTTTACTCCATTTCACTCTTGACCTCTGTAACTAAATACTCTCCTCCTTCCTATGCAAATTCCATAGTGCCTTCGTCGATTGAACAAGCAGATCCCTTTCTTGAAAAAAAATCCCCCTCCCTGTATCTTCAGTTATAGACCATTAATTTTGGCTTCTAATTCTGTAATATCATCAGAAATCCCCCTCTGGTTATTCCTTGGCCAATTCCTAATAATCTGCTTAGTTCCTTTAAGAAGTGAAAAAAACCCCTACAACCATTATCCTTCCTCAGATTTGAAAATGAGTTTTCCACCAGCCACAAACCCATCTTCCTCAAGCAAGTAGTTGAAAAAACGAAACGGCTTAGGACCCCAATTATTGCAATCTTCTGCTAACACCACAGGATTATGATCCGAGAGGGATTTGGGAAGCATTTTTTGGATCAGATTAGGGAATTGATTTAGAAAGGGACCACTAATCAAAAATCTATCCAGCCTTACCCAAGTGGAATACTCTCTATTATTGCACCATGTGAATCTCCCCCCTACTAACGGAAAATCCAATAGATTATAAAGTTGTATAAAAGACCTAAACAGATCCATAGAATGCCAATTCTATGTAAATCCACATTTCTCCTCAGGAACTAGATAAGCATTGAAGTCCCCCCATGCAAACAGGCATATTCAAACTTTGCAGAAAACACAAAAACTCCCTGAAAAACTCTTCTTTATCAGCCTCTACTGATGGACCATACACGTTTATAATAACACATTCAAAATTGCTCATCTTAACTTCCCTGATAATGACAAAAATCTACTGTGGAAATGTTGTGCACTGACCTCAAAAAATTCTCATTCCACAAACACATCAAGCCTCCTACAGAACCATCTGCAGGAAAAAAGCAACCACCTCGAAGCAAATTGCCCCCAAGCTCCTCCTTAATCCACTTCGGGAAACATTAAGTTTAGTTTCCTGTAATAGCAAAATGAATGGCTTTTCTCTATCAACCATTCTTGACACTGCTATGATTTTTTCACTTTTCCCAAGCCCCCTAACATTCCATGTAATAATTTTTAGTGTTGACATTTGATTTGATTATCATTAAACACCAAAATCAATCCGCAAGAAACAATCAGGAACTAGCACTGCTATTTTAGTGTTGGTTTGAGGCACAAGTAATTAGAATGATCTAACCTAGAGAAGTCCAAAGTGATGTATGACACTTGGGGAATTATAGAATAAGGATGCATAGAAGGTAGGTGCAGAAAATTAGGGATGTTCTACCATAGGGATTCAAAGGACTGTTTAGTTCAATTGATATTTTATCCAAAGAAAGATGATTTTAAGGAAAAGCAGGCTGGAAATCTAGGTGGCAGCAGGGCTAGAATAAATCTGTGATGTATTGTTCTGTTTAGCAAAGATTAAAGAAGGTTATGCATACTGTCTTGTGTTGTGAACAGTAGCTAAGGTGTCCTAGATGTAGAAAGAGAAGAGAAAAGGAGAAGAATACTATTATGTGTATGAAACGCATATGTTCTTTTTTAAGGTAATTAGAGGACCTTTGGAGGATCATGTCCCTATACTCATGTATGATATGTTGTTGGACATGATTATTTCATGAAAAATGAAGAGTTAGAGCAACATAATTGCTATTTGTCTTGGTAGAGTTGGAAAAGTATAATGATTGAGTTATTAGCTGTTCTATCAAAAAAAAAATTGGGTTATTAGCTAATTGGGTACTTGGCCATGATAAGAATCATGAAAACTATTATTTCTTTTTCATATCTTTGAATACATTTTTTCATCTTTGGAAATAATGTAACTATTAAAGCAACTAAAGGAGTGACAAGGCACGGATTATACCAGAACTTCATGGAAGTGATGAATTACTGTAGCATTAACCAGGGATTTTAAATAGCGGTCAGGCGGAATAGAGGCAGCGGCGGCGGCTGAAACCACTATTGCGGAAAATAACAATGTGGAGCATAATCACACCAATAGTGGTGGATCGCGGCCACAATTTAACTGGTAGTGGCCGATTGCAAAAATAGCGGGCTGCTATTCCCGCTTCTGCTATTCTATTTTTTTATTTAAAAATCTCCTTTTAAAAAAATCAACTCTTTTTAAAGAAATTCACAACCACGATACCCGCAATGACCACAATAGCATCTGTTATGTTTGCAACCGTTATAAATGCAATGCAATTGAAAACGCAACCACAACTACAATTTAAATCTGTGGCATTGACTTCTAGCTACTAGGAACAATTTCCTTCTACCAAAAGTTTTTCTTTCTAGAAGAAGAATCCATGACTTTGGCCTTTGTCACTCTGAATAGGTTAACTATAAAGACCACACTATTATCATGACATGATAATGTTTTCTCATAGCATTCATTAACAATTTAGGAATTCACTACTAATAAAGGTAGAAATGGCATTGAAAAAGATCACATATATTATATTCAAAGCTATATTTCATTCTGTGCACGAACTAAGTGACCTCAGTGGTAAAAGAATTGTTGTTATTCCTTGAGGCCCCGGGTTTGAGTACCATATATGTCAGGGGTATGAGCTTTTAATGTCTAATAGTTAAAAGTATTTAACAAATACTACCTTATATTCACCCTAGATTAATAAAAAGAAAAAAAAAGCATCATTCTTTTTCGAAGCATACATTAGCACAAACTTATTAGTTACCAATTACTACACGTTCTCCATTGCTCCTAGATTGACGATAAAAGAGAATAATTTAGATTAAATAAATCCACTGCATTCAATTATTTATATCATTCTAATCAAATAGTTCTTTTGTGTTCCTGGGTTTTCCTCAATAAGTTTCGTTTTGGCAGGATTGTTCCGAATTTAGCTATCAGTAAAGTCTTATCACGCGAAAACAGCAAAGTTCGCATTCTTCAGGTACGGGTAAGATTTATTTATGAAACTTTTTCACTTTTAAGGTGCCATAGTAAACGCTTTTAGATTCTTGAAGTGCCTGATAATCTGAATGTGTTTGCTTTGATCTTGTTGCATTAGTTATCATCTTCCTAGCCTTGGATACAAATCAAACCAGTTTCTAGTTTTTTCTTAATTGTCTGCCAATCTTAATGTGTTTGGTTTGATCACGTCACTTGTTATGAGCTAAATTAATCGCAGATTTCTTATTATAGTAGAGTGTCATTGGACCACCCACTTTAATCTTTAAGGCCGATGATGATTTTTAACCAAAGCAGTTCACACTCAAAGTAAGTCACTTCTCGGAATACAGGCTTTGCATTTCAGCAAGCCACTGCATTTGGCTACTTATTTCAACACATCACAGGATTTCCACCGAGAAATGTGCAATACCCAGAATTTGACCTTCTATCAACAGCCAATCCACCATAATCTGCACTGCTGTAGACTTCAAGTTGTAAACCTCAATTTCTTTTCAACAAAATGGCTCTCCCTGATGTGCTTTAGATACTGTTAACTCTATAGGTTGCTTGTACATGAACTGGCTTATCAAACTAATTGCATCTACTATATCATATTGCGTGTGAGACAAATAAATGAGTTTTTCTACCAGACATTGATATATCACCCAATCCAATGTAATAGCCTTTTCTGCTTCCCTAAGTTCAATATTAGGATCAATGGGACAGCTTGCTGGTTTGCATGCAGTATTACCACTTACCAGTATCCTTGAGTAGATCGAATACATTTGTTGAAAAATGAAAATTTCCTTCTTATAGTGAGCAACCTCAATCTCAAGGAAGAATTTTAGTCTCCTTAATGCTTTAATCTCAAACTTCCCAGCTAACTTTTGGCATAGAATCTATTACTCCTTACTACTAGTTACTCGTCAGCTAACTTCTAGTTACTACTTACAATGTCTAATCTATTTGACTTTGTTTGTAACCATGGCTAACAAAACTCTCGCAAGTCTCCCAAACCATGCTTTTGGTGATTGCTTAAGGATATGCAACACCATATTGAGCTTACAAACAATATTGAGTAGCCACATTCTTTTCATATGCCGGTGGATATGCATATAAATTTCCACTTCAATTTCACCATGCAAAAAGCATTCTTGGCATCACCATACCTTAAATATGATGTATTTGTCGTAGTTCTATATTTAGGACCGCTTCAGCTTTGGCCTCTTAACTATGGTGCTTTTAAGCACCATCACGAGTCTGGAGATCTTTATTAGCTCAACCAAATACGAAGCAAGTTTTGTATCTGGCCTATTTTATGATGTAACCTATCCTTTTTGCAGGAGGGATGCAAGGGATTGTTGTATATGGTATTTCATGCTCGGGTTATTTTAGATCTGCATGAACAACTTGAAAAAGAGATCAGTTTTGAGCAGGTTGAAGGGGATTTTGATTCCTTTCAGGGAAGATGGCATCTAGAGCAACTTGGAAATCATCACACACTACTGAAATATTCCGTGGAGTCAAAAATGCACCGAGATTCCGTTCTTTCTGAAGCTCTCATGGAAGAGGTATGTCAATTATGCACTTGAACTGTATTCTGCTTTCCTTTCAGTTGACACACCTGCAGTTTGCAGATGATTTAATCCTTGTTTGTAGAGATTCTCCAATGCAAATTCTAAATATTAGAGAGTATTGAGGGTTTTCGGTGTTATGTCTGGGTTACACTTAAACTTGTCTAAGTGTTCATTATTTGGGGTTAATATGGAAGCTCACAGGGTTAAAGATTGGGCTATGAAAGCGAGTTGTGGAGTGGGGTCTTTTCCAATGTCTTATCCTGGTTTACTGATTGGAACTAAGAAAAATTCAGAGGGTATGTGGGAACCGGTTGTCCAGAATTTTAATAAGAGATTAGCTGGGTGGAAAGCTAAATCGTTGTCGATGGCGGGCATACTTGTTTTGGTTAAATCCGTATTATCATTCTTGTCGATCTTTTTTCTATCTATTTTCAAGATCCCTCTCAAAGTGACTCAGAAGTTGAACTCGTTAATGGCCAACTTCCTTTGGGTTGAAGATCTTGATAAAAAACGAATTCACTGGGTGAATTGGAAATCGGTTTGTCAACCAATCGAAGAGGGTGGTCTGGGAATACTTGACTTAAGGTTGATTAATAGGGTCCTACTTGGAAAATGGGTTTGGAAATTTGCTAATGAAAAATATAGTCTGTGGAAGAATCTGATTTGCTGCAAAAACAACGTTAGCATTATGTCTCTTCCAATTTCAAAGGCGAGTTCACCTTTAGATTCCTGGATATGGAGAGGTATCTTCAGTAACTATGCTAAGAATGATCAGATTGGTGATTGTTTGAGACAAAATTCAAAGATGAATGTGGGAAATGGTCGGTCGATTGCTTTCTGGATTGATGTTTGGATTACTAATCTGCCTTTAAAAAACCATTTCCCCATAATATTTGTTTTGTCGATGAACAAATGGGGGATGGTTTCTGAGTTTGGTGAGTATGAAGATGATGTCTGGGTTTGGAACATTCAACTTAGAAGAATTTTTTGTGATTGGGAATTGGACCAGTGGATCGCTTTAATGTCATTGATTGACAAGATTTTGCTGTCTCGATCTGTGGATGACTTCATGGAATGGTCAGGAAAGGGGGATGGCATGTTCTCGGTCAAATCTTGTAGATTGTCGTTACATGGTAGGTCTGAAGGGAGTTTTGAGTGGAAGAAGTGGGTTTGGGATGGATTGGCACCTCCTAGAGTACAAACTTTTTTATGGCAGATCTGTCATCAGAAATTAGCAGTTAGAGTGGAATTGAAGAGAAGAGGGATTCAGATTTCGGATGTTCTGTGTCCATTATGTCTTTCTCATGATGAATCTATTGCTCACCTGTTCCTATCGTGCATTGTTGCCTAGGATTTGTGGAGCAAATTTCTAAGGTTATGGAATATCTCTTCGGTGTTGCCTCAAGACCCTTCTTCTATTTTATGCTCGTGGTCGAACCTAAGGCATAATTCACTTATTTGGAGGTTTATTCCGGCTGTCATCTTCTGGTCTATTTGGAAGGTAAGAAATCTGGTTGTTTTTGAAAACGGCAAGTGTGACTCTACTGTTCTGTTCTTTATCACTAGATTTAGATTGGCGAAATGGTTCTTAGTTAAATACCCTGGGGTTCGGATTCAGACTGGCCTACTAGTAGGAGATCCTACGCGGGCTGATAAATTTCTCTCTAGTACGAGTACTAAGAAGGCTATTGGCTGGACTCCTCCACCATCGGATATGTTCAAACTCAATGTTGATGGGGCAGTGACTGGTGATGGGATGCAGGGTGGTATTGGTGGTGTTTTGGTTGCTCTTTAGCTAATTTTTCTTCTGCAGTAGGGCCTGGTCTCCCTATATTGATTGAACTGAAAGCTATTAAGAATGGATTGGTCTTTTTCTTTTCTTCCGATTGGGCTAACAAGGGTAGACTTATTTTGGAAAGTGATAGCAAATGTGCAGTGGATTGGATTTTAAAGTTGCAACCTGCTCCTAACTTTTTTCAGTGATTTGGTGGAGGAAATTGGAGTTCTTGTTACTGCAAAGGGCTTCGTTCTTAGATGGGTTCCTAGGAGTTGCAATATGGAGGCCGACAGGTTAGCTAAGCAGGGGATCGGTTGAGTGTTGCAGGCTTTCTGTTGAGTCAGATGAACTAGTTGAGGATGGGTTAGGCTGATGGGTCATTGTTTCCCAACACTATTTGTATTAAAGTTCTGTTTTATTATCGAGGGTTGGAGTGTTATGTCTATCTTATGTTATTCAGGGTTAGAATGTAATATGTATCTTATGTAATTCTAGTCTATTAATAAATTGAGGTACTCTTTTCCTCCCTCAATTAGTTGCCACTTATCAAGAGTCAACTATGAGGGAGGTTTTTAATGAGACCTCCTATTCCTATAAAAAAAAAAATCATCTATTGTGTTAGATTCTATGGTTAATGTATCCATAATCCATAATCCTCCCTTAACATATTTGGCTTTTTGTTTCTTAATTTGTACTTGAATATTTGTCATTTACAAATAGGAAAGCTGCTAACAAATAAAGAAGGTTTACTCCTCTGACCTCGTAGGTTATATATGAAGATCTACCATCCAATTTATGCGCGATTCGAGATTGTGTTGAAAAAAGAGAGGCTGAAACTTCCTTGGAAACACAAGAAGATCGACTGCTTTCAGGGCAGCAAACTTCTTCCTCCAGCAATGGCAATGAAACAGAATGTAGTGATACTGCTCACTCGGATGCGGGTTCCAGTAATGCTAATTCACTTAGACAAAGACCCAGAGTTCCGGGCTTGCAAAGGGATATTGAAGTCCTCAAAACTGAGCTCCAGAACTTTATATCCGAACACGGACAGGAAGGATTTATGCCGATGAGAAAGCAACTTCGTTTGCATGGAAGAGTGGATATCGAGAAAGCAATCACACGCATGGGTGGATTTAGAAGGATTGCATCTTCGATGAATCTCTCCCTTGCATACAAACAACGCAAACCAAAGGGCTACTGGGACAACCTCGAGAATCTGCAGGAGGAGGTGAATTGTTTTCAATACTAATTCATATGTTTTTCCTTAAACTCAGCGTTGTAGCACTACACGCGTCGGGCAATCAGCCAAATGAAAATTCAGTAAAATATCATATGGCTGAAAATTAATGCAATACAGAATCATAATATGTACAAGTTGATGGTTAGGAACTATGTAATTGTCCTGTTTTACCGTACAGATTGATCGATTCCAGAGGAGCTGGGGGATGGATCCATCATTTATGCCCAGCAGAAAGTCATTTGAGCTTGCAGGTTTATTGAAAGTCGTTCAAAGAAGCATCACTGTTAATATATATATGATCTTATGAACTCTGTTGTATACGTATAGGTCGCTACGACATTGCACGTGCATTGGAGAAATGGGGCGGCCTGCGTGAAGTTTCTCGTCTATTATCGCTCAAGGTGAGAAAGAAGCACAGGAGCATACAGGCGGAAACCAGTGACAACGAAAAACCGATGGAGAACATAGCAGCAGCAAGTAGCGGCACAGAAAGTGAAGAAAAGAGTGGGATATTAAAGCCATACGTTTCGCAAAATACACAAAAGTGGCTCAGAAAGCTCAAAGATTTGGATAATTTGTATGTATTTCTCTACTCTTCATGAAGCACAATTAATTGACCTGAGCAATCTTGTACACATAATTTTAACATTCAAATTTATAAATTATTTAAATCTATATTCAAGCAAATCTCTATAAATATCAGAATTCACGATCTAAATTTTGGTCTCTATCTGAAACACGTTTAATGGTTGAATAAGCTGTGATCTGCTCTATATAAATTTAAAAGCAAAGATTAAGCTGATCATCATTGGTTGGACAAAATATTAACATTGCACCACCCACAGAAGAATTTGTAATCAAGTAAAATTATAGCGATGATTAAAAATGCTAGACTCGAGTAAAACAATTGAAGCAACTAGACCTAGCTCATATTTGTTTTAGCAGGAACTCTCATGCTGTTGAGTTTGTTTATCAGTAATCTCATAAATTTCGGTTGTAGTCGTGTTTTAGTTGCGTTGCGTTTATCGCTATTGCGGACATATCGATTGTTGTTACAATCATGCAATAAAGGTTACAACGGCTGCTATTCTGATAACCAGTATTTAAATCCTTGCTTGTGACAATGATGATGATACTTATCGTCTCTCTGCTTGCACCATTCATGAACCCTGATGTGCAACTCAGCAGCCGCTACAGAAAATTTACACCCTGAATCGGACTCAATACGTCGATCACGGCTTTCAGTGTCGTCAACCGAAGTTCTTCGGCCCTCTGCAACTCCTCCTTCAACCCCTCTTCCTTCAACTCCATGGTGGACTCCACCTTCTCTTTCACCACTTCATCCCCTCCCTGCAGCTCATCGATCCTCGACAGCTGAGCCGGTGAGAGATCACAAAATCTCCCCTCTCCAGCCCTTGAATGAGTTCGTTTAATTGGTCATCAAGCTGAATCCCGGATTTCAAGTAGACCAAGTGAAGAGCAGTGCTGGGTCGCCACCAGCCGATCCAAAGAAAAGCGTCCTCGAACCTGCTGGTCCATGAAGGTGATAACATGGCCAACACGTCTTGCTTGGCCCACGTGCCTTGGCCTTGTAATAATGTTCGTAATGCTCCAATACGGTTCGGATGAGTCGGCGGAGACTATGTTCGTCCGCACTGCTCAGCCGCTGGGACGCCGAGAGAAGCTCTTGAGATGTCGGTCTGCTCTAGGAGCCAGCGTTGGAAGAAGTTTTTTTTGAATGTATCGGGGTCGAGGCCGAGCTTTTGGTTGCCTGAGTCCATGTAGGTATCAATGGGAAGAAAGGTGAGAAATGTTTAAATTAGAGATGGAGTTGTGGTTCAATGGACCCAATTGGGATAAATATTAATCTGTTTTGAGTTGGTAGACGCAGCTTTTGCGAAAGCAACGATTGAATCATCAATAACAAATTGATTCATTGAAGACGACGAGTTATGTGAAAAAAGTTTGTTCCCACTCAATACTATGGAGACAACAAGAAATGCCTTTAACACCTTACCTGAGGTGACATATCTGTGGATGATCACTTCAAAGAGACGAAGAAGATATATACTTCAGCTCGATTTGTTGATGTTCATGCCATCAGTATTGAACATCAATTGAAAAAGAAGACAAATTTTCGTTGTTAACAATCTTCCCACCAACTTCATCCTTGAGAAGTTCTAAAAATGAGTTGTTTGAGGTCTCCTCATCAAGAAGATCCTACATATCCTAGAGCAGTTGCAAGATGAGACGAGCCTTAGCTGCAATAAGTACAACCCTATTGCTTCTAAGCCATTTTCACAAACCCTTGAATCCAAATGAAGCCGTGAAATGGAGTCTTTCAAGCCCAAATGAAGCCATTTTAACGACCTTACCTTGCCAATGACACCATCATCTCTAATGACTTAACGAGGATTCGGAAATGAAGCTACTCATCGATTACAATTCGTATGGGTAATTATTGTGACGATGTTTTAGTGTAATGTAGTTCTTATGCATGTTGCCCACTTGCTGCTTGTACGTCCACGACAGTACAATAGAGATGCATTGCTGTCCACCATGACAAATTGAATAGGTACTCACCCAGGTACCATAGCAAGATATGCACTTTAGCCCCACCAGATCCTAATCAAGTGTACGGAGATCAAATTAAAAATAGAAACGTTTTGTGAGGGGGTTATAGAAAAGTTGATGCAAAATAGATCCTTAGCCAAAACAAATTGACTCATGAGTGGCGAGCGAATCTTATTATGAGAAATTGCTTAATGATTTTAAAAAATATAAAAATATAAAAATAAAATTATAATTGAATGATTAAATAAGATACTTTTTTTAGTAATTTAGCATATTACATACAAGTTTAATACATAAACTATCAGTTTTGATCCGTTTTAATACCTCAACTTTTATTTTTTTTAAAACATACCTAAAGTTTAATTTTTGTTTCATTTTAGTATCCTGACAAAATTTAACATTAAATTTTGATTTTTTTTGAAAGTTTAGGTACTAAAACGGATCAAATTTGATAGGTTAGGTACAAAACACGTTAAGTTTATAATGTTGGGGTACTAAAATGAAAATAAAATAAACGTTAGGCATGATTTTGAAAAAAATAAAAGTTTAGATACTAAAACAAATCAAAACTGATAATTTAGATACTAAATGTGTAGTTTACCTATTATTTTATAATCAAATTAAAAAAGAATAATAAAACTTATAATTTAAGTATAAAATGACTCGTTATTTTATAATCAAATAAAAAATTAATAATAGATTTTTTAAAAATTTTAGAACTTTAAACATTTCAATATAGGTTAATAATTATTTATGTATTTTATTTTAATTTACTGAACAAATTAGATTTTATTTTAATTTATTTTATAGTTTAATATGAATAATATAATATATGAAATTTGAACTTGAGAAAAATAGACCGCCTCAGAAAAATTGAAAGAAAATCCTGGGGAAGCCATGAAACCAACAACGGAGGATGAGAAAGGAGTGGTGGAAGAGAGAGGGCCACTTAAATCCTTTTCTCTCATAACCCCTATCTCCTTCACACCCTATTTTTTCCGATTCATTTGAGCTTTGGGAAACAAAATTAGTGGAAATGAGCAGCCAAGCGGCGCCTTCTCCATCCCGCCGGGATTCTCAGAAAAGAAGAAATTCCGCCGCCACCAAGAAGTCTTACTCCTTCGACAATTCCAAGCTCAGGTCTCATTCATCACTTCCCTTTTCTTTTTCTTTTTCTTATTCCTTACTATTACCTCTCATTCTTTTGGACCGTTAATGGCTTGTTAAAGATTTCCATCTATAGAAAAAAGATTTGTTCTAAAATAAAATATTGAGACCAAAATTACTATTTTAATAAATGTTAGGGGATAATGTTAGCATTACAGCTTTTTTTTTTGTTAACCAAACATTGTTTCATTTTGTCAGTTCCATTTCTGTTGAGAGAACGGTGAAGAAGCTAAGGCTGTCCAAAGCCCTCACCATCCCCGAAGCAGCCACCGTGTCCGAGGCTTGTAGACGGATGGCAGCCCGCCGTGTTAATGCCGTGTTGCTCACTGATTCCAACGGCTTGCTCTCTGGGATCGTCACTGATAAGGTTTTTTCTCCTCCTTAATTATTGTTTAGGCACAATACTAAAATCAGCTTTTATCAAAATAGTCATTTTAGATTCAATTTTTTTAAGTATTTTGTCCCGATTTTCATTTTAGAACAAAAAAGCTAGCTAACATTAGAAAGAATGGTTACTTTGGTCCTTATTCTTTTTCAGAGGAAAAGCCCTCAACATTTCATTTTAGAGTGAACAAAACTCCTATTTTGGAATGTTAATCTTGTATTAATTAATGGTTTCATCTATATAGGGCATTTTTCCAAAATTAAAACGTTGTGTTCAAAATGTTCCAAAAATTAGGGGTCAAAATGACCATTTTGATAAATGTTGGGAGCTAATTTTGGTATTATACCTTTTGTTTAAGTATTTATCAACGTTCTTTATTTCCTCAGTATACGTATGTCAATGTATGTCATTGTCAGGACGTTGCCACTAAAGTAATAGGGGAAGGGTTGAAGCCCGAGGACACATTTGTATCTCAGATCATGACGTCTAGTCCAATTTTTGTTTCGTCTGACTCTTTGGCCATTGAGGCACTTCAGAAGATGGTTCAAGGTATTTGAGTATGTTATTTTCATCACATAACCCAGTTATTATTATTATTATTATAGAAATAATTGGTTATATTCCAATGGAGTTGGACAAAGAAATCCTATATTAAAGTTGGTTTTTGAAAGTATAAGGAACTCTTATATGTTTGTAAAGTTCAAATGGTTGATAGTATGTCATATCAGTGGCTGATCTAAAAATAAAAAATTGGGAGTCCAAAATTTTAGTACTCTATTTTAAAAACATTTTGGGTATGCTAATTTCTTTATTTTTTTCTATTTCCATTTATAAAGTAAACTAAATTTAATACTTTTCTCAAAATAATGGGTGTGCAATGGCTCCCCTAAGGAGCCATGTACATACACCCCTGTGTCATGAAGATATTTGTATTGAGAGAGACTAGGATGGATTGAGGGGAGCGGACAGAGTGGCAGTCTCTTTCCTGAAAATTTTAAATTGTCATATGTTTTAGATATTTTCTTTGTATTTTTTATTTAATAATCTGTTTTCTCTCCTAGAATTTTATAAGTTTGGCTCTTATAATTTTAGAAATTCATTCCTCGTAATATAAAATCTTGCATTCATCCTTGAGAGAGACTTGGAAAATACTTGGGGGTGGGTGAAGTGGTGTGCTCATAGATTATTGTTTCTATCATTATTTCATCTGCTGAAACTCATTGTTAGCTAATTGTATGAGAGAAAGATACAAGACAAAACCAAAGATTCGTTGTTTGAATTTAGAATTTCATGCATTATCTTTTTATATCTGAATTTAATTTTTTCCATGTGTAATCAACCCTCAAATCTATTTTGACTTTGTTTTTTAATCGTAGGCCTCTAAAATTGTCTATATATATATATATATATATATGATTTTATAGTCTTAGTCCAAAATAATCAATAACGACTCTGATTTTTGAAACATAAAAATATTTTTGAATCTAAAAATAGTTTCTACAAAAGGTCTTATGGTTTTAAATAGTCCTCAACTATCAAAATGTATGATTTTATATAGTCGAGTGTCATCCGTGAAATTTCCTTTGTCAAAAACTACCAAATAATTTCTATACTTAATCGTAGAACTGCAGATCATTGACTCGATATATGCCAGAGCCAAACTAAGGTGGATTACAAATTTACAATAGCAATATCGTTTTTAAACCTATAGTGCCGGCGTTCAAACGTGAAAGTCATCTCATTTAGGGATGGATCGAGGGGAGGGGAGGAGTAGTTGTCTCCCTGAAAATTTCAAATTATCATATACTTTAGATTTTTGATGTATTTTCTATTGATAATCTGTTTTTATTCTCCTAGAATTTTATAAGTTTGTCTCCTGAAATTTTAAAAGTTCGTTCTCAACATAAAATCTTGCGTCACTCCTGATCTCATTGACTGGTTCTTCGACAGGAAAATTCAGGCATCTCCCTGTTGTGGAAAATGGTGAAGTCATTGCCATGCTGGATATTACAAGATGCCTTTATGATGCTATCTCCAGAATAGAGAAGGCTGTTGAGCATGGAAATGCAATTGCCACTTCGGCTGATGGCGTTGAACGCCATAGTGGAAGCAAAGGTTCTGGTTGGTTAATTTGTTTGCATTCCATAACATTCTAATGATTTTTTTTATTAATCTGGACCGAATGCAAGATAGTATCTATTCGAAAAATTCTCAATCATTTGACAATGAACGCTCATACATAGGGATGGACGCAAGATTTTATGTTAAGGGGCGAGCTTTTTGAATTTTAGTAGGGGATGAACTTATAAAATTCTAGGGGGGATAAAACAGATTTTCAATAGAAAATATATTGAGAAAGTCTAAAAATATGGTAATTTTAAATTTTAAAGGAGATACCTATATACACTCCTGCAGATGTGGTGCTCGAACTTAGAATCTCAAGGGATAACATCAATTCCTTCTGAGGTCGCTTGGTTCGTACACATTCTAAATTCATGGCTTAATGTTCATAGGGAAAATAATACTTATTGATAGGCATTTCTTTCTTTTTATTTAGTCATATATATTTTGAGGGGTGGATTGGGAATTTTTTTTATTAGTCTGGGGGTGATTATAAGAATAGTATTTGTTCATAATTTTTCTAGCCAATTGACAATCAACGAGCGGATACACACCCTACAAACGTAATTGTTCAAACCTGAGATCTCTAAGGAGAATAAAACTCCCTTTAACCACTAAGACAACTCAATGGATTCTTTTATATAGATGAAGAAAGGTTCATATACAATAACAACATATCTTTGAACAAATGTGTGATTTCTTGGCTAACTTTTTGCTTTATTTGGTTTGCTCTTATCAGGATCACATGGCTTCGTGGAGACTTTGAGGGAGCGGATGCTGAAGCCATCCTTGTCAAATATTGTTGCAGAAAACTCCAAGTATTTTAGAATTCAATTTCCTTAATAGTCACGTTTGTTTTACCATTTGCTTTACCAATCCCTGTAACTTGTTCATTTTTCAGTGTTGCAATTGTTTCTTCATCAGACCCTATATCTGTTGCTGCAAAGTTGATGCGGGATTTGCAGGTTAATTCAGTTGTTACGGTTACGGAGAATAAAATTCAGGGCATACTAACGTAATTTTTACTCTTCACAGGCCTTTCATGAATTTATTAGTATAATTTTTTAGATCTTCTGCATTGTTTACTTGTATTTGGTATGTATTTAAAGGTCTATTTTGAGTCATTTAATATATATTGTGATTTCTTATGGATGCTTTAATGCTATGAACTGCAGTTCAAAGGATATTCTTTTGCGAGTTGTGGCACAAAATCTATCGCCTGACCTTACTCCTGTGGAAAAGGTTCATCTTTATATTTTTTATTTGATGTACATTATAGTCATTGTTAATTTCCCTCCACCGATTTTGACAGGAGATATTAATCTTTAGGGTAAACTACATGTTTAGTATCCAACTATCACTTTTGTTCCATTTTAGTCACTTAATTTTTTTTTTTTTTTGCTTTTTAAAAAAAATCATACCTAACGTTTAGTTTAGTTTAGGAATGAAATGAAATGAATAAAATACGATAGAGAAAGTGACATGGAAATTTAAAAAATATCAGATCAACATCACCGTTAAATTTTTATGAGCAAAAGGAACCAAAAAATTAAACGTTAGACATGATTTAAAAAAAAAGGTTGGGTGACCAAAATAGAACAAAAGTGATAGTTGGGGTACTAAACCTGTAGTTTATCCTAATATATATTTAATTTTTCTTTTGTATTTGTATATATATTGCATGTCAATATTGCTTACTTGTGTTGGTGGTAACTGGCCTTGGAATGGAATGTGCAATTTATATAATGTATTTTTGACACGAGATGGATCCATGATTTAAACTGCAATTTTTTTAGTATAATGGGATGTTGTTCCATAGTTATGTTTTCTTTCTTTCTTAATAAAAAATGATATTTTTTTCTCATGGATAAACTTTTCATAGTCGTTATGCCCACATTAATATTTTCTTTATCATAAAGGTGATGTCACCGAACCCTGAATGTGTGACAGTAGAAACAACAATCCTTGACGCACTGCATTTAATGCATGATGGGAAGTTTTTACATCTTCCTGTTCTAGACAAAGGTGAGCCTCGGTTGTTCTGTATAGTTTTAGAATCCTAATTCTTTCATTTTTTATGTGCATGGAAATGGTGGTTGTGCAGATGGAAATGTAGCTGCTTGTTTAGATGTTCTGCAGATCACTCATGCTGCAATTTCTATGGTATGCATTTCTTACGTCAAACTCTTATTTTATGTTTATGCATTGTATATTATCTTGATAATGGACGCTCAAATACCCCTATAAATATTGTGCTCGAATCTAGGACCTTTAAGGATAATATTCATCCCTTATATTACTGAAGTCGTTTGATTCGCACATCAAACTTTTAAAATTAAGATACAATCAAATTAGATCCTTACATTAAAGAAAAATAAAACAAGAGATTCTAGAGAAAAAACTTCATAATCTCATTATTCAAACAAGAAAACTAGAGAAACTAATCCCGCAAATGTGGGGTTAACTTTGGGATTCTACAATTGTATAGATGTTTATATTGCTCCATATAAGCTAATACTTCCGAAGTTGTTGGATATGTATAATGTACTTGATTCATTTTAGTGACAAACAAAATATTAAAATGAGAATCCCGCGAAAATTTAATATGGTGGTTGATTGACTGGTAAGATATCCATTCTTAATTACTATAGAGTTTCTTTGCTCGATTTTGTGTAGTCTGACGTCCAAGTGCTTGTTTCAAGAGATATATTATGACTTCCGTCTTATAAAACTATTGTATTTAAATTATTGACTTAAAACTACCTTCCGATTCAAATAAAAATGACTATATGGGTTTGACTTTCTATTTTACTCATAGGAGGGTGTAAGTGTAAAGCAGTTCCTACCCTATCCCTTTTAATTTTGATCTTTTGAAGGTTGAAAGTGGCTCTGGAGCTGCTCTTAATGAAATGTCGAACACAATGATGCAAAAATTCTGGGACTCTGCCCTTACTATAGAGCCGTCAGGTGATTATGACACGCAAAGGTATTACTAATCCTGCCTCACAGTTCTAACCAGGGATGGTACGAGAGGGTGGGCAGGCAGTCGTCCCCTAAAATTTTTAAATTCTCTTATATTTTAATTTTTTTAATGTATTTTCTGTTAATAATCTGTTTTTGCCTCATAAAATTTATAAATTCGTCCCCTCTAACATAAAATCTTGCATCCGGTCTTAGTCCTTAGTCCTAACCTGTTATACTGTGAATTAACAGTGCTGAATGTTCATTTCAGTGAAATGTCTGCACTCATGGCATCTCCCCATCCTTCCCCTGTCCCTAGGAACTCATTTTCTTTCAAATTTGAGGATCGTAAGGGTTTCCTACATCGATTCAGCTGTGGTACGTAGCAAGGTCAAGCTAATTGCGACAGTAATTGACCTAAATTTATTTAGATATACCTAGAAGCAACAATGAACTGATACGTTGACTAAAGAAATGAAATATTTTTGGGTAAACTACACGTTTAGCATCTAAACTATTACTTTTGTTTCATTTTAGTACCTAACTTTATTTTTTTAACACCATACCTAACGTTTAGTGTATGTTTCAACCTACCGTTAAAATCTTAGCGACACCGATGACATGGAATTTACATTACAAGATGGTCGGAAAAAAATTCCACATCATCGATGCAGCTAAGTTTTTAACTCTAGGCACCAAATTGAAACCTAAACTAAACGTTATGCATTATTTTTTAAAGAAATAAAGTTTAGATACTAAAGCATAACAAAAATGATAGTTTAGATGCTAAACGTGTAATTTAAATGAATACCATGTAAGCACGCTTTGAGGCTTTATGTTGCATGCATGCAATGCTAGAGTGGCATGCTCATATTTTGTTCTTCAGGTACTGAGAATTTAAATGAGCTCTTATCAGCTGTGGTGCAAAGAAATTCTTCCTGTGATGATCATAGACGTCCTCAGCTTTTGGTGAGTCGTGTTCTTGTTTATTTTATCCCCAGTTCTTGTGGTTTTCTAATTTTTCTTCATTGATTCTTTTCGGTTAATACAGTATAAAGACGACGAAGGTGATAAGATTTTACTCACCACTGACGCTGATCTTATTGCTGCGGTTAAAAGTGCTAGATTACAGGGAAAGAAGGTACATCGTTTGTATTGGACTGGTGGTACTCTCTTGTCATTCTGCATTTTCGGTACATACATTCTAAATTTATAAGGGTTAACTTATCTAAACTATTATTTTTGTTCTATATTGGTATCCAAATTTATTTTTTTCAAAACTATACCTAATGTTTAGTTTAGGTTTCATCTTGGTACCTCTTCGTTGAAAACTTAACAGAATTGCTGACGTGGCACCATAGGGTAATACCACATCATCGTTGAAAAAATATCACGTCAGCAATTCTGTTAAGTATTTAACAATAGGGTGCCAAAATGAAACCTAAATTAAATGTAAGGTATGATTTAAAAAAAAGTTTGGGTATCAAAACACAACAAGAGTAATAGTCTAGGTACTAAACTTGTAGTTCACCCAATTTATAATTGGCATACTGCTAAAATTGGCCCCTTACGTTTACCATGATCATTTTGGCTCCAACGTTTCGTTTAAGACAAAAATGTCCATAACTTTTGACTAAATAATCATTTTGACCCTTGAAACATTTTTTTCTCTCAAACGTTTTATTCTATGGTTAAAAAACATTATTTTTTTAGCATTAACCGGTAACTAATGGTTACCATCCATGAGGTATCTTTTTGTCTAAAATAAAACGTTGAGGTCAGAATGCACCAAAAAAATAAGAAAGAAGAGATCTTAGAATGATAATTTTGATAAAAGTTAGAGGCTAATTTTGATATTATACCTCTATAATTCCTCTCTTCCTTTGGGACAGGTTTTAAGATTGCATCTGGATTTCTCCGAGTGCGATCAAGAAATAGCAATTGTGTGTGGCAAGAGAGGTGGAGGGGTACCTCTTCACTTTGGTTTATTGGCTGGTGCAGTTGTCCTCACTAGCATCGGCGTGCTTGTCTACTTAAAGCGCTCAAATTTGCGACGAGGTTTATTCTAATTCACGTGTGGTAACATCGGTTAATTAGGGAACGAAATGAATTTACTTTTTGAGAAATATGTAGTGGCTGTAACATCTTTGTATAGTGTATTCTATATTCATTGAGTGACACAGTGAAATTTATTAAAAAAATAGTTATATGTACAATTTTATTAAGCTAGGGTTATTGTATCCATATAAATATATATGATTTTAGGATTTTATGTAATCTCGTATAATCTTATAATTTATAATTCACTGCTATTTTATGGTATAGTGAAATTTATAAATACATTTTATCTCATTTTAATTATATGATTATTTATTGGGTTTAATACAAAAATAAGTGCATGAATTTTTGTCTCAAAATATGTTTTTGTCAAATTTTTTTCGTTAAAATTAGGTGTCTAATGTTTTCAACGGAGCACATGTGTCGAGCTATATAATTTTGAGAATTTATTTTAAAAATTTTAAAAATAAAAATATTTTTTTATTAAAGAAAATAAAAACAAATCCCCATTACAGCAGCCCCCTCCTTCCTTCCACCTTCCATGGTCTTCGGTCGGCTAGCCGTGATCGTAACAACCACTATCGTTAGTACCAGCGTAGACTCTCGATCAAACCTTTTTGGCATTTCGTCGTAAGTTGTCGTCGTTTGTCGTGAAGAAACGTTCGAAGATTCTCGGATTTTAAGCCACCGTCACTATTTTTCGTCAATTCCGGTTGATTCCGAAGTCCATATGTCACACTGTCACCATCATTCGAACCACCATCTAATTTCACTCAAAACCCATCTTCGTTGTCGCTCCGTCGGTACTCCTCCGTCGTTCAAAATAAATGTAAGGACTTATTTTTGTATTAAGCCTATTTATTGTTATCTTTTACATATCTAATAATAAATGTCATATAACAAACGATGTTAAATGAAACTGACATCCCATTAAATAATATTTAAATCAATCAATAAATAAAGGAGAATAAGAAAGTTATTAAATCTCACATGTAAATTTACAAAAACTCTTATCAATGTCGTCACTTGTTGGATATCAATTAATCATATAATTCCGTATATGTATAATTATTATATGAAAATTACACAGGTGGTGTTTATTTGGGTTTTGACTTTTGAGCTTCAGTTTCTTACTGCTTGATATACATTGGGAAATATCACTCTCCAACTCTCTATTAGCAACTAATATTTTTGGAGGGATACACAAATTAAACGACCATAATAATTAAGAGATTAATGTGTCGAGCTCAAATATCGCGTATGCGTAAATATGAGTTGTTCGAGCGCGTTCTTACTTTAAGGTCGTGGTGACCCATCTTCATCCTTCTCTTTGCCAGAGTTCTTTCCTGGAGGAAAAATTAGTTGTTTGAATGAGTTTGTAGGATCAATTTTGACCCAAAAGATACTTAAGACATCATCTAAATGCCATATTCATCTTCATCTTTCATCGTCTATCTTGTTCGTTTCTTCAACATTGATTATAATATGGATTATTCCGTCTTCTAGATATTCTTGATTTCAAGATCCATATTCTATGTTACCAACCATGATAAGGTTAAACTAACAAGTGGATGTTACCAACCATATCGTAATCGAACCAATAAATGTTGCCAAGCACATTATGATTGAACCATCAACTCAACATTATATGTTGAGAGGACAGTTTTAAAATTTTTGTATTTATTAATTAAAATATTTTAGTATTTTTATCAATGTGAACTTTATATCAAAATATCATATTAATAAAAAAGGGTAAACTACATGTTTAGTACCTAAAGTATCGTTTTTATTTTGTTTTAGTACCTAAACTTTCAATTTTTTCAAAACATACCTAAAGTTTACTTTTTGTTTCATTTTAGTACCCCAGTTAAAAATTTAGGTACTAAAATTAAACAAAAAGTTAACAATGGGTACTAAAATGAAACAAAAAGTAAATGTCGGGTACTAAAACAAAAAATTAAATATTAGGTATGATTTTGAAATTTTTTTGAAAGTTTAGGTACTAAAATGAAACAAAAATGATACTATATATACTAAATATGTAGTTTACCCTAAAAATTATAAATTCTTAAAATTCATTTGTTCATATAAACAATTAAAGAAATAAAATATATCGATAACAACATTATCTAAAATTATGTCCAATTTTTTATTTTTAGAGATAAAAATTCACGGACTCATTTAATAAACATAGATTTCTAATAAAACCATAAATATAAATTGAATTTATTTTTTTTAAATTACTTTCAACTGCGATAAAATTAAAAGTTAAATTCTTGGCAGTGGCGGATATACATTGGTGTTTGAAAGTTTTTGGAATTCAAGTTTTCTTCTTTAAATTAGAAGTTTTTTCTCTTAATATATGTGTATGCCCACCTCGAAATTTTATCGTATTTATTTATTTAGATATAAAAATTTTATATTATTAATATTTGTGTGTTCACCTTAAATTTTTTTATAGATCTGCCATTTATACTTGATAACTCGATTGAGATGAACATGGTAAAAAAGATGAACAATCAAACATGAAAAATATATAGTTTTTTTAATCTTGAAATCAAAAATAATAAAGGAAAATTTATTTTCATTCTTTTAAGAATAATACAAAAAGTGGATGTTAATTTCTTCTAATAAACAATATTTAAGTGGTTTCTAAATTCTAAATTAATATATACATTTTTAGATAATTAAATTTAATAATTTATGATCTACATTTTTCAGGGACAAATCTAATAATTTAGTATATATATATATTGGTAAGGAGGATTGAGGCCGCAGAAATGAGAATGCTTCGATGGACATGTGGTAGGACTCTGAGGGATATGACGACAAACTCTGCTATTAGGATGTCCTTGGGGGTGGTGTCTGTTTCCGAAAAATTGAGGGAGGGAAGACTACGGTGGTTTGGGCATGTCCTTAGGCGACTACCGTCGGATGCGGTAAGGAGGGTAGAGTCGATTACAGTCGACGGTGCCAGAAGGAAAGGACGACCAAGGCGAAAGTGGGAAGACTGCTTGAGATCTGATTTGAGGGATTTAGCCCTTACCGAAGACATGACCTCTGATAGGAAAATATGGAGGCTAAAGACTAGGGTAGTCGAGTAGTGTGGGTCACATCTATAGGGTGTATCATCTCTGTCTTCTTTTAATGTCTTTGTAGTATTTTCCATGACTTATACTTTTTATACGTTTCTGTTATTGGTATTTATGAAGGATTATAACTGGGCTTGCTAACGTTGACTTCTGTGTATCATTCTCTTCATGTTTCCTCTTTTAAATTTAGCCGGATCTTATGTTTCTGTCTATATGCAGAGATTCTTTCGTAGGGATTATTATGCAGGGATTAATTCCCGTTACAGACGCACATATAATGACTGCATATGAATACTGATTAGCTATGTATTTATGTATTTATTTATACATGCATTGCATTTTATCTAAATTTTTAATTTTCTGACTGCCGGAGGTCTTCCACGGAAGCTACTCTCAACCTGGCGTTGGGGGTAGCCTACTACCCTACCTCCCCCTTACCCCATACATATGGGAATTGGGTTTTGTTGTTGTTGTTGTATATATTGGTAAACTACACGTTTAGTATTTAAACTATTGTTTTTACTCTGTTTGAGTACTTAAACTTTATTGTTTTTAAAACCATACCTAATATTTAGTTTAGAGTTCAGTTTAGTACCTTACCATTAAAAATTTAATAGAAACTGCTGATGTGTAATTTTTTAAACAAAATTCAATGATGATGATCTTATGATGACACAATCAATATCTCCGTTAAGTTTTTAAAGTACGGGGTACAAAATTGAAACCTAAACTAACGTTTGGTATTACTTTGGAAAAAATAAAGTTTAGGTACCGAAATGAAACAAAAATAATAATCTAAATACTAAATGTGTAGTTTACTCTTTAGTTTTTTAATATTTTCACTAGTCTCTTCTTTGTTCAGTCGTTACATCAGATACTTCCTCCTGCACAAACTGACCCAATTGTAACATAACAAACATGACATGCTTCATGATGTAAAACTAGAATCAGAATCATAATTGGATTGGGAAGCTCTTTGTTCCTACTTTGCAATGGTGCACTCTTTTTCTTCCAGATAGGTCTACGGAGTTTTTATTTATTTAATGAGACTTTTTTTTATCAAGAATATCAATATATGCTATCCTTTAATTTTAAAAAAAATGATGCCGATAAAGAATATCGGGAAAACTATTGAAACTTTTTAATTATAATAATTCTTATAATCATAACAATATTATAATTATGTTAATATTATTTTCGAGATTACACATTTGATCCTTATTATTTACACATTCTATTAATTTAATCCTAATTTTAAATTTAGAGTACTAGCCATTAAGCCAAGTTCATCACTAAGATATAGATTGACAACATGTTTTATTAAAGGTTATCTTATGGATCAAAACTAAAGAAAGTACAAATGAGGTAGGGAATTCGACCCCGAGTCTAGTGAAGTAAAAAATAATCACTAAACCCAAGTCTAATATTTAATTAAAATTAACAAAACATTCTTAATTTTTAGTTAATAAACTATTAATATAACAATTTATAACATTATATTCTTCTTTCAATAATATATCATAAATTAAATAATATAATTAACAATCTTTAATATTTTTGATAAAAATATTTAGAAGCATTAAATTAATTTAAAATTAAAACCAAATTGATAACATGTATAGATAGTTATTGATATTATTTAAATAGTTAAATAATCTAATTGATGAAATTTTTAGTTTATTAGTAACGTAAAATCACATTTATAATTTAGTTACTAATAGTGTAATTTACTAAAAATATAACATGATCCAAGTGTGCCACATTAAAAAAAACTTTAATTAATGACTGAAGTTATCTTTCCGGTCAAAATAAGTACTTAAAGTATTCAATTGTTTCATCAAAGTATCTAAAGTATTCTTTAATTAATGTCACATGTCAACTTTTTTAGAAATTACATAAACAATATTAAACAATTTAGGTACCTATTTTGACATAAAATACTATAGATACCTATTTTGATCGAAAATATAACTTTAGGTACTTATTTTAGCAAAAAATATTTAGTACTTAAAT